CGTGGGGCCGGGCGGCCTGCGCCGGGGGCGGTGGGCAGAGGGTGCTCGGGGAATCAGGTGCGGCCCCCGGCTCCCGCACCTGCCTGGGCGCGCCTGCAAACCTGTACCCCGACCCGCGTGTGAGCAGCCCGCTGCAGGAATCGTCGCTCAGGGTCTGATCCAGGATTTTAACTCCATCTTCAGCGTTTGGCTCACCAATAATTATTTGCCCTGCTGGCCACCAGCAAGCCTACCCAGGGCCATTTCACCTGAGGAAACTAGAAAATTGGGTAATCAGGTGTCAGCAGAAGCAGTGCAGTGAAAGTTAATCTGGGACGTTTGCTTTTTTTTTTTTTTTTTTTTTTTTTAATTTGACCACGTGATGGGCCAAGGCTCCTGCGGTGATCTTTGCCGGCCCAACTTGGGAAATGTAATTGATAGGACGAGCTCTGCAGCCGCCCCTAGAAGGCTCAGAGAGCCCAGCCGGAAGAGGACCTGGGCGGGCCATCAAGCGCCTCCTCATTTTACAGTTGGGGAAAGAGGCTGCGAGGGGTGAGCGGTTTCTACTGGACCACTCAGCCAGCGGGTGACAGAGCCACCCAGGGCTCCTGACTCCAGGTCCTGTGTGTTACCTCGAAATAGCACTGGACTTGGAGTCAGAAGGCCTGAGTGGAGTCACCTTCCCCACTCTCTGGCTGGGTGACCCCGGAGCAAGCCATTTGAACTCCTCGAGCCTCATCCTCCACCTGTCAAATGGGGCTGTGGTGCGCCGAGGGAGACTCCACCGGCCTGGTGGTGGGGGTGAGGGATGTTTGCTCGGGAATGTCCTGGGGGTCCCCGTGGCCTCCTCTTCCTTCCCCACACCCCTTTCTTGAGCCTCCCCTCCTCCAGCTCTCCCCTCCGGAGGGTTGGGGAAAGTGGATAAACTGGCAATTAATTGTCCTCATTCAAGAGTTTCGTTGTCTTTCACGGCTAATCCGGGGTTAGAGTAGAGGGAGAACTTCAGTTCAGGAGACTTAACTTTTACCCACTGGGGCCAAAGTGCAGAAATTTAGTAGAACAAGGATTGTGAAAGTTTCTCAGAGGTTTGAGGATTACGTCCCTGAGGACTTCGGGCTGGCTTCACCTTTGCTCAGGCTGTGCTCCTTGCCCTGAGTGCCCTTGCCCACCCGTTCTGCCTGGCCTTCTCCAGGGGCCTTCCCTGCCCAGGTTGTCCTCCTGGTTTTCCTCTGTTATACAGTCAAGTACTTTATGTGTGAATCCTGTGTCCGGCTAGATTCTAGACGCCAGAGCTGTGCCTTTGATTTCTTTGTGCCTGTGTGACACCTGTCAGCATCTGAGCCATGTTCCTTTCGCTCAGCTCTTGGCTGGGCACATGGATTGTGGACGGGGTACAGCTGGACCTTGCCAAGCAGAAGCTCCCAGGCTGGCAGGAACGACAGCTGGGCAGCGAGTGTGGGGAGAGCGGAATGCAGAGGGCAGCAGCTGTGGGCAAAAGCGGAGCCTCCAACAGCCTCACAGCAAGCCCGCACTAAATATGGGTTGTTTGAAGTCACTTGGGGCATCAGTCATAGGTGTTCAAAATGTCAGAGATGGGAGGACCTTTAGAAACCATCCAGTCCAGTACTTTATTTAAAAACTAATAGAGCTGTTAAAACTGCTAGTAAGCATTAAAAAAAGAATTAGGAACATGTAATATTACCCAGAGATAACCAATGTTACTTTTCTTATGTATCTCTAGACATTTTCCTGTTCATATAGATCACTTGTTTTTTTTTTAAAAATGGAGTTATTCTGTTTGTGTACTCTGTGTGTAATTTGTGAACTTGGAATTACACTGTTTGTAACTTCCTTTTTTTTCCCCTCCAAACAAAATTCTGTGAACATCTTTCCACATCAATAAATATTCTACTTAATGACTTAATGGTTATATAGTATTTCATAGAGTATTGAACCAAAATGTATTGAATCAATGCTCAGTTGTTTGTTTGTTTTTGGCTATCATAAGCTGTGCTGAAATGAATATTTTTGTGTGTATATATTTCCTTCATTTAAATTCCTAGAAGTGAAATTACTCCATCAAAGGAACTATGCAGGCATTTGGTAAGCACATTTCTGGATTGCCTTCTAGAAAGATTGTACTAATTTACACACTCACCGGGACTGTGTGGGAATGCCTCATTCCCCATACTCAGATAACTTGGTATTGGCATTTTACCAGTCTGTTCATCAGTAAATTCTGTTGTAATACACATTTCTTTGACTACTTCTGATGCTAAACTTTTTCTCTTAGAATCGTGAGCCTCTTGTGGCTCTATTTTGTGCAGTGCTGTGTTGGTGAACTTGGCACACTTTGCAATTGGTGTCCTGTCCCTTTGTTGTTCTAAAGCTAGAACTGAATGCCCAGAAGGGGTCTCAGCCACATGGGGAATTGGTAAAATGACTCGAAATCGTATTTATTTATTTATTTATTGGTACTGGGAATCGAATTCAGGACCTTGAGCTTGCCTGTGCCACTGAGCTATATCCTCAGCCGACTCAAAATCTTAGTATCCCCTTGTTAGGTCTGGAATATTGCTGCCTCCGAGCTCCGTAGCCAGGGCCAACTGCTTCCCAAGGCAGAGGCAGAGGCAGAGCTCTAGCCACATGCAGGAGCAGCCTTGGCTGAGCGCATTTGCCCACCCTCCACCTTTGTGAGACAAAGCAGCATAAGTTCACCTGAGCTCTGAGGGACGTGTCCCCCGGAGGCCTTGGTGCCATGTGCACTGGGCCTCTTGGCTGGTGCTAATGATTACAATGCCTGTGAAACCTAGGAAAGGTGGTGCCCCACAGCTGGGCACGGGGGCTCATGTTTCCCCTTCACCTGGGGCCCTCCGTTCTCCAGCTGGGGGAGGCCACCCCGAAGCACCCCCTTGTAGTGATATGAGTCACCCAGTTCCTTCCCTTGTGAAATCATAGAAGGACGAGCGGCTGGAGTCAGAGCAGCCTTGCACATGGGGCCTCAGGCTTGGAACTGAGGTCATGACAAGAACACTGCAGTGTTAGTGCTGTCTTCTCCTTCACTGTCGTCATCATCATCATCATCATCGTCATGGTCATCGTCAGTGACGTTTGTCAAGTGTCCTCAAGGCTTGTTGCACTCTGCTGAGGCTTCCGCTTGCTTACGTTTCATCCTCATAAAGATTCTGTAAGATGTACAGTTGTACAGATTTCACAGTTTCACAGAACTAGACTTGCTGAAAACTTCCTTGCTTACACTGCCTTTGAGTAAGAGGAAGGCCAGGAT